CAGCGTCTGGCCCGTCCAGGCCCACCCGCCCAGCCGGCGGGGATGGGCAGGGAGGGACCCCGCCGCCCGTGCACCGAGCTTAGGCGGCAAAGCCCGGACCGGAGACTCCCGCACGGGCAGGGAAGGCAGCTAGCTGCTTTCCCACCCAGCCTCCCTTCTCTGGCAGGCCCTAGGTTCTTGTGCTCCTTGCAGCTGCTGCGCTGGGGGGAGGGGGGAATGTGGCAGTGGTACCGAGGTGGATCTCATGCCTGATGTAGCTGTTTGTCGCTGAGTTTTGGAGAGATTTATTGGCTGGCTCCTGCTAAGCCACGCTTGAGTAATCCGAGCTGCTGCGCGCTGTGGTGAAGCCCGCAAGGCGGGGGGAGGAGGAGGGGGGAGCTGGAAAGCGGGGGACGTCACTCCCTCTGGTAGCAGAGCAACATTAGTCTTCCACCCTCTAACCATCACTACAGCTTGGGAAACTGCCGGGTCACATCCATTTGCATTGGGAAAATGGGCGATGTTTGGTGCTAGAGAAACAGATCGATCACCCTTGTGATTCTCCCTGCTCCTGTCCCAGCTTCCCCAACCCTTACCCACCCCAGACAATAGCCTCCGAGGTCCCCCAGAGGAAGGAGCGGGGATGGATCTGACTCCGGTAGGAAAAGCGCGTGTCTAGAAGTGGTGCTAATGGGAAGAGATGCTGTGATCCAAAGGAGGATGATTTGTCACAAAGGGTAGCTGGCTCAATGCTTTGGGCTGGAGCCGTGTAGGAGATCATTGGAGAAGTCATTGTGCACCGAAGTCAGTGAGCCGAAGATCTATACAAACATGCCTGTTCGCAGAGGGCATGTGGCACCACAAAATACATTTTTGGGCACAATCATACGAAAATTTGAAGGGCAAAGTAAGTTCTCTCTCTCTTTCTCTCTATTTTGATACAGTAGTCTGGATCTGCTCGGGACTAGATGGATAGGAGCTCCAGACTGTTTTAAGTTTGTAGGTTGAAAAAGGAAAATAAGAGGCAAGGAAGGGATCCCTAAGAGCCTTGCTGTTGTTATGACTGATCTAGATTACAGATCCCCCCCTCCTGCATCTTAAGGGGCAGTTTTAATTAGTGACTGTGTTATATTTTGTCTTGTAGCTAATGTACCTATATTTCAGTCATTCAGACTATTGGAGGGGCTTATGCAATAAAAACATTGTTTAAAAAAAACATAAATCAGAACAGGCAGTCTTTGATTTAGATGAAACAAATAACACCCAGAGGAATTGTTAGGGGGGAAAGTGCACTTATTAGCTTGTCTTCTGCACTGCATTTTCAACATATTTATCAGTGATATTTTTATTTATCATTAATCTATGGAAGCTTACAGAATCTATTAAATCAATGCAAATACATCCCAAGCGAGGATGCATATAGTCTATGGTAGTCTTCAAAATGCAATAGTTTATTACCTGTCAAGTAGATTGCAGCTTTCATGTTTTTCTTTTGTTTGAATTCCAATTTAGTGTACATCTAACACTTGAAACTTAAAATGAATTTTAGAACAGGTCCCAGAGAACAGTATGTTTGATACACCTGCTCTAATTTAAATATTTAGCATGCATACAATATATAAGACAACTACAAAAATAAACTAAGTTTAGCTTATACACTTTGCAGTTCCTTCCCTAAATATATCTACAGCAAATTTAATATTTGTGTAACTGGTGTAAGAAATAAAGGCCAGATCCCACAAGTCTTATTTATGTAAGTATTAAAAATCAATGGTACTGTTTTTGTTAGTAAGATTTTACAGACACAGTTATTAAATTGGGTGACTTACTACTGTTGTGGTGAATAAAGTTAGTGAATAATACAATATCCTTGAAATCACTCATACAAAGTTTTTGTGAAAATTCAGCATAACATGAAGACAGTGGGGAAAGTTCATGTAAATGCACTGACTTTCTACAAAGGTTTTGGTGTTAGAAAATAATATATTTAATTTTAAAATACTAATTTAGGGCCATAAAATTGTCACTTAACCCATTATACATTTTATTAAAGTCAAGGGGTCTGCTTGTGTGAACAAGGCATCAGTGGTGATAACACGGCAATTGTATCAAAGTTGAATATACATTTGTAAAATGGGAATAGAATGTAGTGCAATTGTAACACAAATAAGTTAACAACTGAGATATATTGCTCTCAGGTGAAAGTTTAAAAAGATATGTGTGGCTTAAGCACATTTCTTTACAAGTGTTGTTAAGACTAGAATTTGGCTTCTGTGCATGGTTTGTTTGAAATAGTGATTTTTAATCATGGAATTCTGTAATTTCACCTTTGTGTAATAACTAGACCTTATAACAACTATACAAGTGACTGATCATATTACATTCATTTTCCCGGGAGTTTAATGGAAAATTAGTTCATAGGCTTGATCCTCTTCATATACAATCAGTGGAAAAAATCATATTGGCTTGTACAGTGCAGGATGGAGCTCTTTGGAGCTGATCCTGACAAGATCTCATGCAGATAAAGCTTCCACTAACTCTTCACAGGAGTTTTCCTCAATAAAGACTTGCAGGACTGAACTGGGTTTCAGTGACATGAAAAAGGTATTATAAATTTGAAATTCACCAAAAGATTAGCAAAAGGATGTTCTGAATCTGGTTTGATTATATTTTCGTAAAAGTTATCATCTTCTAATTTAATGTATAACAAGTCTACTGAAGTTTTTTTTAAGAGCTCTGGGTCAAGATGTTTAAAGATCTCAATGTCATAGAAATCACATGCAAAAAATAAATTCTTCAATATCTGTCCATGCAGCCACCGCTTCATGGAATGTTGAAAAAATACTGAAAAATGCATTGCTTTCTTGTATTGCAGATAAAAAATTCATCATTGCTAATGCAAGAGTGCAGAACTGTGCTATCATCTACTGCAATGATGGGTTTTGTGAAATGACTGGATTCTCCAGACCAGATGTCATGCAGAAACCCTGCACTTGTGATTTCCTCCATGGGCCAGAGACCAAAAGGCACCACATTGCCCAAATTGCCCAGGCTCTGCTTGGGTCAGAGGAGAGAAAAGTGGAAGTCACATATTATCACAAAGATGGTAAAGTTTCTCTGTTTTAAAGATTTTTAGTGCTGGGGGGTGGGGAGGAGGGCAGGGTATAAGAAGTTATCTTGTAAAAGGATTTGACATTCTGGGCAAAATCCTCAGTGGGTGAGGATTTATGCCATGTGGAGATTGGTCCGCATATATTCAATTTTGATATTATACGTTTCTATGCATCCATCTATTTAGAATTGGAAGAAAAATCACTATTTTATTTATTGCATGACCAATGTACAAAACAATGAACAACTTTTAAAGGCACTGAAATAAAGGGCCTGCTGCTTCTTTCACGTTCACTGGTATTAATCAGGAATAACTCTACTGAAGTCAAGGGAATTGCACTCGTATAAAACTGGTGTAAGTAAAGGAGACTCAACCCTAGATTGTTAGTTTCTATGGACAGTTTTGTATCAGACTGTAGTAACAACTAATAAGTAGAGCCCTGCAAATCCACAGATATCCTCTTTATATTTACTTTATATCTGCAGGTATCCACTTTCATGGATGTGGATGAGGATATCCACAGCTCATTTTTATACACATTTTGTACCAAGAACCATGCAAATTTGTGGATATCTGCTTTATATCTGTGAGTCTTCACATCCATGGATGTCAATGTAGATATTCATGACTCATTTTTGCAGATACAGATGAGGTTACAAATTTTGTACCTATACAGGGCTCTACATACAAGTGCCATGTGTTTAAACTCTGCAACCCATGCTCAGCTTGAGCTGTATCTTGATGTAAAAGGGATATCTGAATAAAGTGCTACATTTCACTTAGCAAAGGTCATATTCTGTTACCCTTAACTCAGGGACTACGTCTACACTGGCCCCTTTTCCGAAAGGGGCATGCTAATTTTCAACTTCAGAATAGGGAAATCCGCGGGGGATTTAGATATCCCCCGCGGGATTTAAATAAAGATGTCCGCTGCTTTTTTCCGGCTTGTAGATTAGCCGGAAAAAAGCGTCTAGACTGGCCCGATCCTCCGGAATAAAGACCTATTCCGGAGGATCTCTTATTCCTACTTCAAAGTAGGAACTTATCTACAAGCCGGAAAAAGCGGCAGACATCTTTATTTAAATCCCGCGGGGGATATTTAAATCCCCCGCGGATTTCCCTATTCTGAAGTTGAAAATTAGCATGCCCCTTTCGGAAAAGGGGCCAGTGTAGACGTAGTCCCTGAGTTAAGGGTAACAGAATATGACCTTTGCTAAGTGAAATGTAATTGAAAAAAGAGACAAATTCTTCTCCTAGTCATGCTATTGTAAGTGCTAAGTAACAAATTAAATCCAGAATGATGCTGTTATAACAAAGGATTGGGGCCCCATCAAAACTGAAGGGAATGCAGTCTGCTTCTGTTCTCCCCAGCCTAAGAGGAAGAATGCAAATTGAACAGAATACTCAAGGGAGAGATCTTGGAGTCATTGTGGATAGTTCTCTGAAAACATCCACTCAGTGTGCAGCAGCAGTCAAAAATGCAAACAGAAAGTTAGGAATCCTTAAAAAAGGAATAGAGAATAAGACAGAGAATATCTTATTGTCTCTATAGAAAACCATGGTATGCCCACATCTTGAACACTGTGTACAGATGTGGTCGCCTCATCTCAGAAAAGATATATTATCATTGGAAAAGTTCCAGAAAAGGGCAACAGAAATTATTAAGGTCCCTTATGAAGACAGATTTAAAAGACTTCTACCTTAGAAAAGAGGAGACAAAGGGGGTGATATGATAGAGGTCTCTAAAATCATGACTGGTGTGGAAAATGTGAATAAGGAAACATTTTTTACTTATTCTCACAATATAAGTATTAGGGGTCACCAAATGAAATTAATAGGCAGTAGGTTTAAGATAAACAAAAGGAAGTTTTTCTTCACTCAGCGCACAGTGAACCTGTGGAATTCCTTGCCAAAGGATATGATGAAAACTAGGACTTTAACATGGTTTAAAAAAGAGCTAGATAGATTCATGAAGGTTAGGTCCATCAATGGCTATTAGCCAGGATGGGTAGGAATGGTGTCCCTAGCCTCTGTTTGTCTGGAAATGTGTGAGAGGAGAGAAATCATGTGGGGATTACCTGTTGTGTTCTGTCCCTCTGGGGCATCTGATATTGGCCACTGTCGGCAGACAGGATACTGGGCTAGATGGACTTTTGGTCTGACACGGTACCACCATTCTTATGTTCTTAACATCATTTGTATTATTATTGACACATGGAAAAAAGAGTAAAACAACTATATTTACTGCTGAAAGCATGAAAGGAATATAATGTCCATGTGTTCTGAAAATGATGCATCTGCACGTGGGAATACTACAAAACTAAATAATTATGATTCTTTATAGTTAAGTTTCAGAACTGTTTCTGATTACTCAGCATTATTTACAAGAATGTCTACCTTCAAAGAGGACTGAGTAATGTATTAGTATGATGTACAATATTCTGTCCCTCACTGTGTATATACTCAAGAGAGAAAGCAAAGGAAACTCATATATTCAAATGTTGAGCTTAATTTAGTTTTGGAGACATGCCAGAATGCTCTTTGCATTAGTTCCAGAACTGTAACAACAGAAGCTCTTAAGCTTTAAAGTCAAAGAGCCTAATTCTATTCTCAGTTATTGTTATTCCAAAGTGACACCAATGAAGTAAATAGTGTTGTTCCAGAATTATTCTGGAGAAATTGAGAGCAAAATACATCTTACAGGTTACCTCTCCTCCACCATCTGATATTTTAAAGGTATTCTCTTTATCCTTTAGATTCTCATATTCTCTTTCACATGAGACCCAACCCCTGAATCAGAACAATTCTTAACTTTGGGGAAATTAAAAGTTGGTAGAGATCCTCACGTAGGGTAAAGCTGCTTTGGTCAGTTGATTTCACTAAGGATCTGGCCTTCTTTGTCTTGTGGAATTTTTTAATCTATGTATGTTAACATGAAATATAAAATAAAAGTAGAATTGGAAGTGTGAAACACCAAAACTAATTTTGAGGAGATCACAGCTGTCAGAGCAAAGCGCTAGCTTCAGGGTACGATCACTCAGAAGTATGCTTCCTGCTCCAGTATGCAAAAATTATTGAAGGAGAGATGGTGGGGGGAGAAAGAGGAAAATGGTGTTTATGTAAATAATCAATGAATTGTCAGATACCTTTTTTTTAAAATAACACATTTCTGAAATGCAGAATTCTAATATTATTCAACCTGACTCATTATAGACCACTGAGAGTAAAATACAAATAAGGCAAATGTCTATTTTTTTTCCACATCTTACTTATTTTTTTCAGTTTGCAATATATAATTTATTGAATTATTGAGCATTTAGGGGAAAATGCTGTAAACAGTTATTCACAAGAGTAACTATATTTTCATGAATAGTCAATTTAAACTTAAAGGTAAAATCCATGTATGTGTAGCTCAGCAATGGGTAACTTAAGCTAATGAGTGAGCTGCATGAGTGGCCCTCCTTCATCTCAGTGGGCTTCGAGGTTGTCGTAACCCAGACAGTCTCCCAGGATACAGTAGTTTTGCTTACTGTGTTTGCACACTTAGAATTTTTGGGGTGCACCAACTGAACCATAGCAACACTTGGATTGGATACAGTGGTAGCACATTGTTCTCACAATCAATGTTGTGTGCAATCAGCACACATTTCATGTATTACTTCACTTCAAGACAGGTGTGTCTTTTTAGTAATACTGGTAGAAAAAATGATGCAGCATTAAAAACCAGCAAAATCTGGCAACCCTGATATGGGAAATGGTAAACAAAATGTCTTGCAGGTCACGCTTAAAACCCTGATGGGCTGCATGCAGTCTGTGGACTGCAGGTCACCCACCATTGTTATAGTTACTCCTTCAGCCAGGGGTTTGAAGAATCAAACCCTTTAGAAAGCCACAGATAGTATATTTTCACAAATTAGGACTTAAATCCTTCAAAGATTTACTATTGAGCAAAATAACATATCATGAACACTACATTTTAATAAGCTTTTGCAGATTTGGGTCCAACTTTTGAAACTTAAATACAGAGAATTAAGGGATTACTACAGCACACTAGGGCTATGTCTACACTTGCGGCTTCATGTGCGAGAAATATGCAAATGAGGCTAAACGTGAAATATCGCTGAGCCTCCTTTGCATACCTCTTGTGCAGTGCCATTATTCCTGAAAATAATCGGTGTAGTGGCATTGCGCAAGAGGGGTTTTATTTTAGTTTTCATAAAAAGTATATGCATATATTTTATATATAAACAAACTTGGCAGAATACAATTTTTAAAAATAATTTGATGGTTATCATGTCTTTCAATTTAAATGTTTTACAATTTTATAAATTATGGGCAATATTTTTTGTTGGCTTGTGGGTACAATAATTTACAAACCTTACCAATATTTAATGTTAAAAACCTAATTCTTTCTAGCCTATATATATCAGTGAGATCTTTCTAGAACACTTTCCAAGTTTCTGAAGTGGGCAGTAAGGTAGGATGGGAAGGAGGGTGGTAGACTAGATGACCTCCTGAGATCTCTTCCAACCCTAATATTTTATGATGGGCAATTGATGCCTATGATTACTGCTCATTTTGTATTTTTCAAGGACTATTTTTATTTTAAAGTGCTCAATCAAGTGAACAGTTATGCATATAACTTATTCATCTGAGTAGTACCAATGAAATACTTAGTGCTTAAAGGTTTGATTTAATCTGTGCACTAATTAAGAAAATGCATTCGTGCTATATAGCCATACACACCAAAATATTCTTACAAACACGATATTTTGGAGATTCACTAGTTTCCATAGTTATGAAGCCCATACTTCCAGTTCAGAAGAGCTGCAAGAGTTTTGACTTTATGCCTGTCAATGAAACAAGACTTAAATTTTGAGAAAAGGTCACTTTTGTAGCAGTCTGATTTTAGAAAAATGATCACTTTCTGAAGCTGAACAGAGGTTCTGAATATTTAAATAAATCCCATTAATAAATAATTAAATAAGTTCCAT